TCCCCAACTTATACTGGAACCTGGGGTTGTTATTTATCCGGAATCATCCCCAAATCCTTTTCAAGATGACAAGTTAAGGCAAATTTTACGGGAAAAGCAGTGCTGGTTTTTCAGACTTGCCCAACTGTTAAGGGCTGGAGGACAGGCGAAGTATTTGGGAGAAAAAAAAAAACAACAACCAAGTATTAGAAAATTAAAACCACACCACTCCTTTTGATTCTTGCTTTGCTATACTTTCATACCACTATAGCTAAAAGATTAGTTCAAAATCACCACATTCCAAAATACAGCACCCACCCCCCCTCTCCCCCCACCCATACAGGCACTATAGCCTGTAGCAACATTCTTCACCATTCTATTTAGAATTTCAAGTTCAAAATTTAGGTTTAAAAATAAAGCACCAGTCACATCTCAAGATACTGCTTTTGGACAGGAACTAAAAAGATGTCATCTGCTTACACCAGGATGCAATTCTGTCAAATGTTTCACTGGTGAAGTGGAAACGTTTATGATCAGCCAGATCTCATCCAAGAACTTTGTATTTTACTTCTTGACATTGTCTTGCATTTCCATTTACAGGACTAATAACCAGAAGGCACACCAAGTTACTCAAACAATTTTGGCGCAAGACTTAAGTCTCAAGTTACCACAGGGAGAACATTCTTAAATACGGAAGTCTGGCAAAATTTGGGGGTTTTGTTGGGTTTTTTTTTTTTTTTTAAACCATTGTGATGATGTCACTGTAGGTGACAGTGAAGGTACCTGTGTGCGATTAAAATAAATTTAGCATCTTCAGTGTTATTACACAATAGTCATTAAGCCTCATATATTAAACAAATGCACATGCAAGATGGTAAATGAAGTGGCAAACATTTTTAAATAACATCTTTAATTAAAGTTTTTGCAAAGGCAAAATATTAAACTTAAAATAGGTCTTAGTACATCAAAATACTAAGTTCTCTAATCGTATTCCAAGCATGGCCTTTGAAACATAATATCCTGTATATCACAGAGGAGCAACCTTGATCTGCAATTGTACAGAATGAATTTTACAAACATAATAAATATATTTACCCCCTTACACATAACAGTATATGTACAACAGCAGTTGACAATAGTAGCTCAGAACAGCAAAAAAGGATATTCCCCCACTCCATAATCTATTGGTACCCTATGCACTCTGGAACATGTCTCACTGGAGGACTGTACATATAGTTAACCCAAGGTAGTTATTCCCGTTAAAAAAAGCTTCTTTTGTTCCACAGTGTCTAATCCACCAAATAATAATTAAGAGACACACGGCATGAACTGCCTGAAAACAGTAGACAACAGGGAAACCAATGGACTGGTTTTTTTTACACATTTCCCAACCAATCACAGCAATGGGAAAACAAGACTTTAAATGCCAGACACCAATACATAACAATGCGTCAGTTTCTTCATCGTGTATAGTCACAAATCTCCAAGTCTGAAAAGAACTCTAATTTCAGTTGGGGGTGTGTGGGTGGCGTGGCACACGACAAACCCCACGATGCTGTGTAAGGCAGCCCAGCATCAATCCAGTCTGCGTTATCCTAAAACCACTGTTCAGTTCCTGGACGTCTTATTGCCTTCTATTAAGGAAGCTTTTGCGCTGGGGGAAAATTCGGGGGGCTTTATTATTTTTAAAAGAGCTTTTACAAATTGAAGAGATTGACTCAAAATGAACTTTAGTTAAAGAAGGTCTCTAACTCCTCTGAAATTAAGAAATTTTACTCTGGTAGTGTTATGTGGTGACACAATTACTACTAACTATTAAGCAGGGGAATTATTTTCACAGACCCAATGAAGTTTAGTTTAATTGTGCAGCAGAAATAGAAAAAACATTTATAAAAAAATCTGTTACATGACACAACATGTTCTTTGCTCTCTTCTAGAAACTGTGCTTCAAAATCACATATCATATTCTTGGAAATAAACTCTGACCACAATTATCACTTTAAACTGTGTTTAGGAAACTGAATTATGTTCAAATGCAACTTGTGAGTACAATGCAGGAACAAGGAGTATGACGTCTCAAAGAAATCTTGTCACTAACCAGCAACTGAGGGGGAATAAAAACATATTTTATTTAAATAGTTCAATATAAAGCTCCTTATGTGACTAAATTCTCTATTATCTCCTTAACAGAAAACATACTTCAATTGGTTTTCAACTTAGATGTTTTAAAAATGATTGCACACACTAAACCCCAACAGAATTAGAGTAAAAAGTTGCTTTTCCGATTGAAGCACTGCAGAAAATTTACTCAGGAATCAAAAAAAAGGTATTGTCATACTGGCAAAATAGCTATTCTGCAAACTGAAAAGGCACAAGACTCCCAATTTTGCCCAGTTGCTCTACAAGTTTCCATCAGCCATCATGGTTATAATTATGAAGTTATCTTCCCCATTTTTTCCATCATATAAAGGTGCTCCATAATCTGTGCAAATTTTAACATAAGCCCTCTTGAAATCGTTAATTGTTTCCATAATACTGAACTATTTAAATGGGAAAAAAAAACCCAACCAAAAAAATTATTTCCAAGGGGAGAAAAGAAAATAATTTATGAACCATGAATATGGGAATCCCTTGCCCTCTGAAAGGAATGGTTTCTTTGGAACCTAATGAAATGGTCTGTTCAGTTACATTGTTATAATAATGATTAAAAATTCAAGTACAATAATAAAATTAAGCAAACTACATTCTTACAGCAAGCTGCTACAATAAAATGAAATTAAAACATGCTTTTTGATTTAAAAAAGGAACACTTGATGTAGCAATAAGAGCACAGTTTGGTATCTTCGTGTTTGACTGGCTTTCTGAAAACTTCACAGGTATTTGTATTTGAAGACAAAATTTCTTATCTGAAAAGCATTAAATTAGCTTGCAAGAGACTGTGCAAGTTCAGAGAGCTTCTAACATCCTTCAGAACAGGCTAAGCTTAAATTACCTTTAAAGTTCTGCTATCCCTTAAAAATAAATAAAAAGGCTATGCAGCTTCTAGTATATGTACGTGGGTGAAAAAGTCACTAAGATGTATGAAAACAAAGTGTTGTACAAGTAATCTGGGTTCCAGTAGTATAAACAGGAATCTATAGCTAAAGGGATTTTTTTTTTCTTTTATTGGTTTGATTCTGCAGCATTACCGGAATTTTTCTGAAGTCCACTACTTCAGACTTACTGGTAACAGATGTGGAAAAGGTGAGGGAAGGAATTAGATGGTACATTATTTGTTTCATTGCAGTTGTACATAGAAGTGTCAACAGTGGTAAAAAAATAAAAATCAAGTATCTCCTTTGTTCAGAAGAAAGCAAACACCAATCAGTCTCAGATACCTTGAAGCCCCAAGCCAAAAATGCACTGTAAATGATTACTCCATTGCTAAAGAATTAATTAGAAGAAACATCAATTACCTTTTCATAAAGCTTATGTATGCAGATGGCTCCCTAACAACCATATGGCTCTAGACATAGCCTACAGGCAGTTTTAGTGTATATCAAATGAGAGCACAGGTGTACAAAAATCACAGCAAAAGAAACCCTCTTTACAATGTGTTTTGAGTTTTCTACATTCTACTGAGACTACGAATGCACTTGGAGGCCAAGTAAATTAGAGAGAATTAAAATTATAGCAGTCATTATATACTGCTAAAATACACTTGTGACTTTGTTAAATATGTTTTAAAAGTTTCATTCTCAAGCAAAAAAAGGTCAGAAGTCATGGTTCAAATGTCTGCTTCTGAAAGTCTTCCCCAATTTAGTTAAAATTATCTTCACTGTGTCCTTTTTTCATCATCTGTCCAAGCACCCACTGAAACACAAAGTTTTTTTGAAATGGTGAGCCACATGAACATTCCTTCCTCAACAGTTTCTCAAGTATAATGCCCATTCCCTCTCCTCTTTCAAAAGTAACTGCATTTCCAAAAGCAGGGTTTGTGAGAATAACCTATGCATGAAGAAAAGGTGTTCACTTCTCAGGAGAGGAAGGGAAGGAGGGGGGAGCAACTTTCTTGTCTCACGTTAAAAACAAAAACAAAAACCAAACCCACCCACACCACAAAACCACACCTCTGGAAAAGGCAAGTGAAAATGTGACTACACAAAGTTTAGTGCATCTGACTGCTTGATTTTCTGTTACCAAGACAATCTAAAGCTACTCTAACAAAATTTGTGTTCTCAAAGCTGTGCAGCTCTCTTCATGAAATTACATGCCACCTGGAAACTTTAGAGATTAACTGTGGCAGGTAACTTATGGCTATACTTTTTAGTAAAGTGGATCTTTGATTAACAGAGTTGCAGCCAGGATGTTAGAATTTTTATGTGATTTTTCTATAAAAATTTAGTCATTCTTGTGGATGTCTGGACTGCACATGCAGTAAGCAGGTGAAGGAATGCATCTGTTATGCCATTACCTACATATTTGATTCAAAAGGTCTCCAAAGTCTTTTTAAAAAAAATCATTGGAAACTGTATTATTTGTTTCAGTTCATTGATGTTGAACCACCAGCAAACAGCATTAATATAATTAACAGGTTAAGCAATCTGACTGTTGGGAAGGGGAGCTACAGGTGCTTAGTATTTAAAAAAGACAGCCCTAAATAAAAGGTATCACTTACATGAAATTAAAATAATTTTGAAATATAAATGATCATTTTACCATTTTGTAACTGCTAGGAACAACCACCTCTTTATGAGGAACTGAATTGAAAATAACAAATAGATATAATAATTAATGAGCATATCAGAATTAAAAATATTTTCCTTATACAAGTTATTTAAAATTTAACACCTTAATTCTTACCCTTCTGTACAAAGCTTGCACGCAGTTTGAGTAACATTCTGACCATCCTCACTACCAAAAGGAAGTGTTCAAAGCAAAGATTTGTACACACAATAAGCATTTTCAGATTAATAATCTATCAAAGGGAAGAGTTCCTTCAATCAGTGGAAGAAGTATTTTAAAATCTTAAATCAAGGGAAGAACGGGGGGAACAAAGCCTTACATGCTAAATACCAGCTGTAGGTACCTGTATGTAGAATTGATAATTAAGGTATTCCTAACACACAAAACCAGCTCCCAGACAATGCTATAGCTGCTACAGTCCATGGCTTGCTCATCTGAAGTAGTGTCTTTGTTGCCACATTTTATCTTTGTTCCAATACTTCCGTTTATTGTTTATCTCTGATGTGCAGATACACATTTTGGTTGGAGTATACGTCCCAGTCTCAACCTTTCCTGCTTTTGATTTTTTTTTTTCCTTTTACAGAGAGTTTTTTTGTTTTGTTTTGTCTTTTAAAACTTCACCATTCTGCATCCCCAATGGCTTTGGAAAATACATAATCTCTTCCATTAAGATTCATGATGCCATCTTTGAGATGAAATTTCCATTTGTTTTTACTTCTATGGATCTAAAAACAGGGAGAAAAGTTGAACTATTACTCTGCATCAGAAACAGGTAACACTGCATAAGTAAATTATAAGGGCAAGAAAAAATGAAAATAACTATTAGACATATATTACTAAATTACTACAGATAACTTGAAAATCAATTCTACATTTAGCTATGAAAAGCAAAAACTAGTTACACATATAGCAGTATTTTCTGTTTTCGTTTTTTAAACCAGGAACAGCGATTGGCAGAAAACAATGCAAGCACACAGACATTCCAAAATCCAAAGCATATAGCTCATTTTAGAGGTAGCTGGAAAGGAAGAGAGATATATCCACCATATTAAGAAAATGTTACAAAAGGCATAAAACCAAGGAAGCCCCATTGCAATTTTTCAATTTCCATCAAGTACAGAAAGTCTCCTAATCTACTGTTAGTGTTGTAATAAAGTAGCATCAGAATAAACAATAATTTGTTGTAATAAAGTAGCATCAGAACAGATATGACCATAGCACTCAGTCAATTATTTGTACTATTGTTTGGTCTGTGCTCACTTTAAGCTAAAAAGTCAGTGGCAACAGGAAATAAGTGAACAAGAAAAGGTCTGGTTTACATACTCTACTTGCCCCTCCAAATGGCATTCAACAAAGTGCTTCACCAGAAGCATCTGAGCTGCCATGAGGTAAGAAGAAAGGTCCTCAGATGAATAAATAACTGAATAAAGATGGGAAAACAAGGGTAAGAACACTGTTCTTACAGGGAAATTAGATCATTCCAGAAGAGATTTGTGCTGGCTGGAGTCTGCACGGTTTAAGAATTCACTAATCATCCACAAAATGACAAAACGTCACTGATGATAAAAAGAAGTTACTGAAAAGCTGCAGAATGATGTTACTGCCCTAACTCATTGCATAATAAAACTGGTGGCATTCAATGTATATGAAGGTAGTAATGATGGAAAAAAACAATCCCAACTTACATGGACAGAAAAAGTGATGGGTTTGAGTTGACAATTACAAGTCAGGAATGAGATCACAATGTTCTAAGACTTCTCCATGAGAAAGTCAGCTCTGTGTTCAGTGGGGTGAAAAGCACACATGAACTACTGCAGAACATTGCTACACCACTCAATAAATTGAAGGTTCATCTGTGTTATGAATAGCTCTGATCCTCCCTCAGCCTTATCTACCTGTATCAAATAAGATATAAAACAGATCTGGAGAATAAAAGTAAGAATAATCAGATGTTTGGATAGCTGTACAAATACCAACCAAGTGCAGCTCTCATTTCAAAGAGATGACTGAGGAGGGTTATGATGGTCTGCAATATCATAAAAGGCACCAAGAAAGCAAAGAGGAAACAACCTTCTAATAAAGAACTAGGAGGAATCATATGAAACTAATGGGTTAAAAAACAGGTAACTCTCCATACATCCATAATTCATTTATGAAACTTCTTGTCATAAGACAAAGTTTACAGTTATTCAAAAGGTAATCAAATTAATTTTTGACAAATTAAGTAAAAAAATCCTCTGCTGGCCATTTGATACAAAGCCATTCTCTCTCCTTCAACAGACAGCTGTGGTGGTTTAACTTGGCTGGCAGACAATAGCTACTCACTCACTCTTCCCCCCGCAGGGAACAGGGAAGATAACTGGAGGCTAAGGAGACTCGTTGGTTGCAATAAGAACAATTTAATAATTGAAATAAAATAAAATTTAAAATAATAATAATTACAATAATGGTAATAATAAGAAAATAATGGTAATAACATTAATAATGATATATAAAAATGAGAGATGCACAGTGCAATTGCTCACCAGCTGTCAACCAAGCCCGGCCTGTTGCCAGATAACAATCCCAGAAGCAACAATCCCAAAACCAAAACCACAATCTCAAAGAGCGAGAGCCTGAGCGAGCAGGAGAGCCCAAGACCCTCATTAATATACTGAACACGATGTTATATGATATGGAATATCCTACTGGCATATCCAAATGCTAATTTGGGTAACTAATTTTAATATCCCCCCCTAGCCCCCAGTCCTTTGCACCTGTAGACTAGCCAAGTCCTCCGACTTCCAGTGACAACTGAAAACATTAGTATGTTATCAACGTTCTTCTCATAACAAATCCCAGGCTGAAACCAAAACACAGCGCTGTTCTAGCTACTAAGAAAACCAGCACTGTCCCAGCCGAAACCAGGACACAGTTCACAGGAGGGCAGTAAAATGCTCTACATGAGCATCACCACCTGTTTGCCCTTGTCTCATTGTTCAAGAGGCACCCACCATCAGCTGATGCAGAACTGTGCAAGACAGAACTCCGCTCACAACAACAGAGCTGATCCTCTGTATTATCTAGAGACAAACTGAACAACAATTGTTTGGTAAGTGATGAAGTCCTTTCAGAGCATGTGGCACTAGAAATTAGAGATGGACACTGGTCTCTCTGTGTTCAAATTTTTAACTTTTAAGAGGGTGAGGATTTCAGAGCAGTTCCTGTTGCTCAGCTTTAGCAGCTACCAAGAAGCTTTTCTGACTGCTATTCTGAGGTCCTTCACTGTCCTCACAAACTGCCTCAAAACTAACAGTTCTGGATCACAGTCTGGAGGAGACAGATGGCTGGGATGTAGACACTGATACCGCTTTCCTCTGTCTTAAATTCTCTGTTGAATCTGATGACAAATCTAAGCAGATTCTAAGTGTAACTGAAGCCTTGGTTTTCTAACCAAGCCATTCTTCGTAATGCAAGAGTTTTTATTCATCAAGCTGACAGCTTTCTTCTGCTTTAAACAGGATTCTTATTCATCATAGTCCAATTAATCTAGCATAGGAAAAGAAAGAATATCCACACTGAATAATATTTCTGCATAATATTTCTGCATACTACCTCAGTAAAACGGTGTCTGATATCCTCTAGACACATTTAAAACAATTTCAGACATAGATGAATACTTGCATATTCTCAGGCAAATATGCAAGAAGAAATTAGTCATTATAGAGGAGGCAAGACAGTTCAGCAGAATTTAAAGCAAAATAAGCAAAATTATTCCACATTGCCATTTCAGAAAGAAATGGCAGAGAAAGAACCTTCTCCTCTGATAACTATTCTATCATCAAGAAGAGATATTTTTAGTGATCAAGGGACAGTTTTCCACTAGTCTAAATCAAAACGACTTCTTCTTCCATTCATGGCCACAACAAATGTACAAACTTATTTACAACAGCTCGCTTCTCCTGAGCCCAGGGGTCTGACCTTTTGTTAAAGGTCACAGAAAGGTATGATGAAGAAAAAGAAAATGCAGACAAATTTTTCTAAGCTTTACTCATGACAAAGTTTAGTACAAACATGTGACACAAACCTGTTTTAGAAACAATAGCTAATTCTTATATTAATATTCATATTATAATCTTTACAGATCTACCTGTACTTAACAAAGATATTAAAATTATTACTTAATACAAAGAAGAACAGAGAAAGTAGAACTCCTGGATTCTGTTCTATAGAGATTACCTTATCATACTGGCACACAACAACATTTTCCGTATCAAAAAGTTCTTGTCCTTCCTCATCACTCACATCATCTTCGCTGTTAAGAGGCTCCTGAAAGAAATACATGCAAAAGGTTAAGATGTTTAGTAAGATCAGAACTGCTACTGTGATTACTCACATGAGCCTACAGTCTTGTCTACAAGACCACTTGACTACAGGACCTAAGATGCATTTGAGGTGGGGAATATTAGGCTTTCCAACAGAGGGCTGATGTACACACACCTCCTTCCTGCCTTCCATCCTGAGATGTCTTTCCCAATTTTAGCCTGGAACTTCAGCGTCCAGGCCAGATTATGGGCACTGCAGCCTTCTGTCACCACAGCTATTCCCGCTCCTTTACTGTAAACGTTCCGGTGCTTCCAATGTGTCTTTACAAGAAATTTATCATTATACAGATTTTCATTTTTCTAAAGCATCTAAGCAGTGGAAAGGTGACACTAGTCACACCACTCCCTGTGTGCCATTAAAAATGAGAACTCCATGACTTATTCACATTTGATGTACCACAAACAGAAACAGACCTCAACACATGCAGAAAGTTCATACAGGAGGGGAGAAAAAGATGCTTTCACATGACCCTGCACAGATACATAGTTAATAACTTCTCCAGACCTTCCAGAATGTATTTTAATGTCCCTTAAAAATTACTTTCATTTTTTCTTTCTGCTAACCCTCTTTTCCAGCAGAAATTTGGTTGGTTTGTTGTTTGTTTTTTTAATCTCATGTAAATAACAAACATTTCAAAAACTAAAACCACCTCTAATAAACACAAAACAACTTCTCTGAAGTCTTCGGCATAATTCTCATCTTCTTATCTACTCCCAAATATATAAACTAAACAGAGGAGATGCTAGTGGGACAAGAAAAAGGTGTACTAGAGGTCCTAACTCCTTCCAAAGTAATGCTATATTTAAGTGCCTTCAAAAGCTTTAAGGAACTGCTCTACTCATTAAGTAACTGCTGATGAACAAACGTAGCAAAAGCAACAGATCTCTGCCATGCTAATAATCAAGTCCTGGCATGTAAAAAAATTTCCACAAGAATGCTAGCATTAAGGCATTACTAAGGAACACAATATTTAAGTATGATGACCTATACTTAATAAGGCAACTATTAAAACATTCAAACTGATATCAGTGCTGATCAGCATAATGGAAAAGTGATGTGAACCCAACCTGCAAGTCAGAACAGAAAAATACTGGTAGACACCACTGTAGATGCACTACAGAAACCTCATTTAACTCCTCAATAAAAATTTGAAGTTTTACCTCCATATACTGCATGGGTGATACACACTGTGAAATGCTACATATGCTCCTCATATGGGCATTTTAAATGGAATCTCAAAATAACTGGAAAGGCTGCAAAGAACTGTGGAAGTGATCTGACAGTTCAAAATGCATTTTAGAGTTAGATTTAGGGAGTATCAAGTTTCCTGTCAAAGACTGAAATAACAGTACTTTTATCTTATTAGTATTCCTCCCCTGTTTTGCGGGATTTTTTTTTTTTGTTGTTTTTTGTGGGGAGTTTGGTTGGTTGGTTGGTTTTGGTTTGGTTTTAAAATTTCTTATTCTCGTGGGGCTTTTTGGTGCAACACACCAAAACTTAGTAAGAACCACCGGCTCAAGTCTGAAACCAAGCAAATTCAAAGTCAAAATTAAACACATATTGTTAAGAAAGCAACAAGTTACGGAGAATATTTACTTCTACTCCCTAATTTTGTTAAATCGAGGTCAGATGTGTTTCTACAAAGTGCTTTATAATCAAATTTGAGTTCTCAGGCTTGTTCTAGTGCAACAGTAAGCAACAGAATAGCCAGTGAGATACAGGTCAGACCACATCTATTGGTCTCCTCAGTGAAATAAATACATGCAATTCTTTCTGTCAGTTTTCCTAACACCTTGTTTTTATATGCACTCAGTCCCAAGTGGAGTTGACCATTTCTGTTTGCTCATGAAGGTTTCATAATTTCATGGCTGACCTCTCCATAACATCAGAAATATTACTGCTGAAGTTTTTAAAAGGGCATTCACAAATTATTAACAGTTTTTGCTGTGTTCCTCACCTTCCTCAGCTGCATTTCACGGTGGTTTGCTAATACACACAGTTTCAACAACTTCAATATGGGAAATAAAGAACTTCATATAAAGATAAAAGTAATATTCTCAAAATTATTTGACTATAGTATTATTTGAAGCATATAGGGTTTTTTTCAAATATTGGGAAAAAAAACAAAAAACAAAACCAACCAAACCCAAAACCAACCAAACCCATTAACATGCTCTAGTCTTCTAAAACAGTGCTCAGTTTACCTCTTCAACTTGGCCATCTTCACCCCCATCTTTTTCTTTGTCTTCCTCTTCATCATCATCATAGTCTTCTTCCTCATCTTCTTCTTCTTCAGAGGATGTGTCCCCTGCTCCATCAACTTGGAGAACAAGTGGTGCTTGTGGCTGTGCCTGCTGTTGTTGTGGTTGCTGCTGACCAGCTGGAATCTGTGCTTGAGCTGGTGTAGGGGCAGCCACTGTTGTAGGTATGACTTGTGTTTTATTTCCTGTAAACAGGATCTGCTGAGGCTGAATAATCACTCCTGCCTGCGGGGAAATTCCTCCAGGGATAGGAGCCAAAACCTGATGGAATATCATTGCAAGTGCTGTGGCTGCTAACGCAACAGACTACCATATCACTTACAGAAAACAATTAAAGTAATCTGAATTGCACTAATTAGAGAAACAAGAGTTACAACTATTCCACCTATATCAGATACATAATTTAGTCTTCAATAGCATACCTTCCTTTTACTACTCTGTGTTCATTTTCTGCATTTTGCATTGCTAAATCTAAGAAAACCTACTCTCTTTCCATTTAAAAATGCGAGCTCTACTGACACGCCTGAGTTCCCAGCATAGCAGAGGAATGTTTAAATTCAAGTAAAAGATTCTTTTTAAAACTCCTCTATAAAATGTCTCTACAAATTGTTACTCATGCGTAAACTACAGAACTGTGACACAATGCTAAATTAAATGCTTACACAGTCTGGACACACAGTTGACCTTGTAGCTGAAAAAAAATCCTCGTAAAACATACTGTATTCACTGCTAAAATAACCAAGGAGGGGTGTGCATGTTTGTTTTAGGTATTTTCTTCTATATGTTATGTGACACACAATGATTTTAATTGACAAACACATTTTTAAAAGGATGTAGACTAAGATTATGCACATAATGTAACTGTCATCAGGGGATACACAAAAGAAATTTTAAACTGCAGCCAGTCAGAATTTGGCAAGAATAAAAGTGACATTGAAAAAAAACAATTCAAAACTGCTCATTTTTAAAAAACACACATCTCAACACAATTATTTTTTTTCCCTCAAATATACCATTTCTGACTTTGTGTTCTATTTCAATTTGCCCCCCAAAAATGCAAGCCTCTTTAGTAATTACTATAATGTTTTTTCTTTCAAGTGTACCTATTCAAAATTTTTTCTTTACCTGCTGTATAACAGGTGCTTGTACTCCACCAGGCTGCATTTGCGGTATGACCTGCTGCTGTAGAACAACTGGCTGCTGCGGCTGAATGATATACTGAGCTCCATTTGCAGTTCTAACTACTTGAAGGATCTGGCCTATAATAAAATAAATACCAAATTAATCAAATGTAGAAATTAATTTTTTAAATTATCTTTGTTTAGAAGCTTGTTTCCTGGAAGAACACCAATGACAATTAAAGGTGATCATTTATGTTTCACTTTCACCAGTGAAAACATACTATGCTATAACAGCTGTGTCAGAAAAAGAACTAAGAGGGTTGTTTATCACCTAAATATGATCGTGAGGTATGCAATCCAAAAATAAATTTACATATGCAAGCCAAATCTAATCCTCTAATGCAGCACAATATTTTAAATATTAGCTCCCACTTATGACCATACCTCATGTTTCAAAGATTTTACTGTCAGAAAGGCAAATGAACACACACCAAAACAGGAATACAGGTATTCACATCACAAGAATTCTATTCACTGCTAACACTGTGGTATTTCCAGGGTCCAGTCAGATGATGCCCTTTCCTCAGATTCTTCTCCCTCCAATTACCACATTACAAGAAATTCCTCTATACATAACTTACTTTCCAATATTATCATGCAGTTGCTTTTTTGAAAAATCTAACCTTACACCTATTATCCACCTTTCCTTTTTGTTCCCATAATGCCTGCACTCGATTTTCTTTTAATAGCATCTAGCTTTATCATTTTATACCTTTCCTCACCTCATAAAATACATCTAAGACATGCATACCTTTGGAGAGGGCCTCCAACTCAGAAAAGCAGGAGCTACCATATATCTTAACATTAGTTTTTCAAATTTCTAATTAGAAAGATGGAAGAGGAGAAGAAATTAAGTTAGATAGCCCTGAACTTCATACATTTCCCTCAAAGACTGATTTTATTTCCTCTCCTCCCTCCACAGCAAAATGCAAAGCCCTGTTTACTGAGATAACTAAGTATACCTGAAAGAAGGGACTACCCTAGCCCTTTGTTTAAGAAACCATACTATAAATATTGGTAACTGAAGAAAAAAAAATATGACCAGAACAAAAGTAACAAACGTGAGCCACAGATTATTCTATGCTATGACAAACATAGAAGTGCTTCCTTAAAATTGGTAAGATTTTAATTTCTAAAACAGCTACACATTTAAATTTTATTTCAAATACATATCCATTAAACATTCAAATGTTTAAAGCAGGAAGGTTAAGTCCCAAGTGATTCTGAGAAGACTAGATGAATTACTCTGGCAAAAGCAGTGACCGATTCTAGAAAATGAGCTTTCTCAGATCTTCCTTTACTCTCCATGCAGAACAGATCTAGAATCAAGCTTATAAGATCAGCATAATACAAAAGCACATGAAGCATTAGATATGCTGCTCATAAAAGTAACACTTAATTGTATTCTAAATGTATGGCATGACGGTATATAAAAGTGATAGATCTAAAATAAAATCAGTATTGCCAGCAAAATTAAGAAATTTCACCACATGTGCTTAGCAGGTATGGGAAACCTTAATACATTCCTCATGTGAAGTCAGAAATGAAGTGTTCCTGCTCTTTTATAACCAGTCTGGTATCTGTGGTGAGATCATGCATCACAAAGCTCAGAAATAAGCAAAGGGGAGACACAGCAATGCCTGTCTTCTTGCTTCGTGCCCTTCTATAAAAAATGGAGAAAACTTGCACAGAATCTATCCCACACCACTGTTAGGTCAGAATCACAAGGTTCCTAAGACTAGCAAGTCAGTGAGCAAAAGAGTCCAAGAATCTAGTGAAGAGATTGCACTACCTTCTAAGGGTGGATTCACAGGTTCTTCTTTTTGACAATATATAGCAGGGAGTAAAACCCTGAATTTCTCCCTCTCAAGCACCCTCAAAACCAGTGTTTGATCTCAATGTTAGGACAGTTACCTGAATTTGTAAGTATCTGCTGAACAGGAGTAACACCAGCAGGGAGAGCCAACGTAGCTGCAGTGGCTGCAGCACTCTGAAATACAAAAAAAAAAAAAGCTTTATAACCACAGACGTTATTGCCAGTGTATAATCTCACAACAGACTGCCTGAAAATATGTACCTTTTTATTGCTGTTTACAATGTTTGCACACAAGTTTCTGCAGCTGCTGGAATGCAGGCATTGATCAACTGTATATTATACTGCTCAAAAAAATTATTTTCCTTCTTCCTTGACAGGAAGAAGACTGAAGCAACAACCACCAAGCATCACACCTTCACCCAGCTCCACATGGTTTCTTGGTTTATCTGCAAGCTCAGCAGGTTTTTTTCTCTGCCTTCTCTGCTAATAGAGAGTATAACCTACTAATAGAGTATAACACTGCATTGCTCATGTGGCAATTTCACTTACAGTTTTTCAAAACAGATAAACGTATGGGTCTAAAAATATGAAGAAACATAAGGTACTGAAGCAACAATCACATTTGACTGTTGTTTTAACAAGGAGCAGTAATCAGATTTACACTTCATTCTGTAAATGATTTGCATTTCAAGTCCTACATAACACAGCTCTTCTGAGTGATTATACGCGCACAGCATACTGACTGTTCACAGAATGACTCATTTTTTTCTCTCAAGACAGCTGGTTAGAAGAGAAAGCCAAAGACTCTCAATGGGTAATGATTTGAACTTAGAAGGAAACTGAATTCCAACACAATTATGGGAGTTCCAAACAGAAAAATCTCCATTAAGTCCTTAACTTGCAGAGGCAGATGGACTTCTCCAGAGGCCTCTCCATTTCAAGGGTCT